ATTGTGTTCTCCCGCTGCTCTCAAAGTCATATCTTGAAGTCCTAACTCAACACCCAGTACCTCAGAATGTGGCTGTATTTAGAGGTGGGGCCTGTATTAGTCCATCTTTATGCTGCTGATAAAGACATACCTAAGACTGGGCAATTTATAAAGAAAAAGAGGCTTAATGGACTCACAGTTCCACATGGCTGGGGAATGCCTCACAATCACGGGGGAAGGCGAAAGGCACATCTTACAACACAGCAGACAAGACAGAATGAGAACAAAATGAAAGGGGTTCCCCCTTAGAAAACCACCAGATCTCGTGAGACTTATTCAATACCGTGAGAACAGTATGGGGGAAACTCCTCCCATGATTCAATTATCTCCCATGGGGTCCTTACAACAGGTGGGAATTATGAGAGCTACAATTCAAGATGAGATTTGGGTGGGAACACAGCCGAACCATATCAAGGTCTTTAAATTGGTATTAAGGTTAAATGAGGTCATTGGGGTGGGCCCTGATGCAACATGACTGGTGTCCTTATAAGAGGGGGAGATGAGGAGAAGGCAGCCATCTGCAAACCAGGGAGAGAGAACTCAGAAGAAATCAATGCTGCCAACAACTTGATCTCAGACTTCTACCCTCCAGGACTATGACAAAGTATATTTCTGTTGTTGAAGCCACTCAGTCTGTGGTACTTTGTTACAGCAGCCCTTGGGAACTAGTGCAGTTGCTAAGAACCCACTCTCTGCCACATCTTCCACAAGGCAGAGGCACATCCTGCCTGGGGACTAGCTGTGAGTCTGGAGATAATTACCATTTTAGTCCAGATAGCCCACCAACTGCCCCCAGAGCAGGACTATTTGTTTCTTACTAACATCTCAGTGATATGGTTTATTATTCTAAGGATTTGGGTGTAAACAAGAGTTTATTATGTCTTCAAATATAAAAAGCTACAGTAAACAGCTGATTTTTGAAAGTATAATGAGGAAGATGCCATAGAAACTGTGAAAGGGTTCAGTGAAACTAGAGGAGTCCACCCAGGCTTAGACGATGCGATGTTTAAACTGGGATCAAAAATGAATAAATCACAGGTGAGCGAGGAGGAATGTTCCAATCAGGGAAAAGTAAAAGTCTAAAGAAAGCCTGAGCAACATGGTGAAACCCTGCCTCTAGGAAAAACACAAAAAATTAGCTGGGCGTGGTGGTGCACCTGTTGTTCCAGCCACTCAGGAGGCTGAAGTGAGAGGATTGTTTAAGACGGGGAGGTGGGGAGTGCACTGAGCTGTGATTGCACCACTGCACTCCATCCTGGGTGACAGAGTCAGAACCTGTCTCAAAAAAAAAAAAAAAAGTGTAAAGCAGAAAAATGCTCAAAAAACTAGAGAAAGCTGCGGAGATAGGCTGGGCCATATTGTGAAAGGACAATGAGAAGACGCCAAAGGGTTTTGGGCAGGGATGTTCTTATTGGAAAGATCATTCTGACTAACGTGTGGAGCCAGAGTTAGACAGGGGAAGACTAGAACCAGGAGACTCAGGAGGCTGTGCCAGGGGTCTGCGAAGGGGGATCGTGGATGGGGTGAGAGATTGAGTGCAGATGGAGAGAAATGGAAGAATTAGATGTTTAGGAAGTTGAAGAAAACACATTTCCTCATTAGTTCAGTGTCGAAGGGTTGAGGAGGAGCGAGGAGTTAAGTATGATTTGGATAATTTGATGGGTAATGAGTCTTTTACTTTGGGGACTATTGGGGATGCTTATGGGGGAAGGGATTGTATTTATCAGGATTTCCATGGTTGCAAGTGACAGAAACTGATTTCAAATAATTTAAGGATAAAGGACTGATGTGAAGAAACAGAGCTGCTCTACCCTCTTTATTTCTCTTTTTAAAATTTTCACTTCTCTCGGTGTGTTGGCCTCACTCTTTCCTACTGCAGACTTGCTTCCTCCAGGCAATGGAGAGAAGGTGGTATTGTTGCAACTTGACATTTACATCTTCCCAGCTCAGGGACTCCAGGAGAGAGAGCTTTTTTCTCCCAGCATCTTAGTTTGAATTTCACTGTGCAAGGTTTAGCCCCATCCAATTTTAATATTTCTGAAATTGGAAGCATCTTTTAATAGATGGCATCTTCCTTTTTTGTTGTTCCAATTGGCACTATTATTTCTTAGTGATGGATAAAATAATAGTGTTTCTTACTGTAATGGAGTCTTAGATGTAATGAAATCCATATAAAATTTTAGAGAAGAGCTCTGATTGGTTTGGTGTGTGTCATTGATTGTCCCTGGGCCAATCATGGTGACCCAAGAGATTGGGGAGTATGATGATCATTACTGGGATACAGGCCCATCCCTGTGGCCAGTGCTATAGGGTGCTATAATTGAAAATCCCGTCTGAACTACACTTAGCAGGGAGTGGCAGTTGCTGCAAATAACACATGAAGCTGCTCAGGCCCAAACACACGATGATGAGTGCTTGAGAAAACAGTGAGTTCAATGTAGACTGGTGGCTAAGCTGGCTGGTGAGATACTGTATTAGTCTGTTCTCACACTGCCATAAAGAATGACCTGAGAATGGGTTATTTATTTATTTGGAGATAGAGTCTCACTCTGTCACCCAGGCTGGAGTGCAGTGGCACAATCTTGGCTCACTGCAGCCTCCACCTCCTGGGTTCAAGCAATTCTTGTGCCTCAGCCTCCAGAGTAGCTGGGACTACAGGCGTGCACCACCATGCCCGATTAATTTTTGTATTTTTAGTAGAGACAGGGTCTCATCATGTTGGCCAGGCTGGTCTTGAACTCCTGACCTCAGGTGATCCACCCGCCTTGGCCTCCCAAAGTGCTGAGATTACAGGCATGAGCCACCGTGCCCAGCCGAGGCTGGGTACTTTATAAAGAAAAGAGGTTTAATTGACTCATGGTTCCACAGGATGCACAGGAAGCATGGCTGGGGAGGCCTCAGGAAGCTTACAATCATGGTGGACGGTGAAGGGGAAGCAGGCATGTCTTACATGGCCAGAGGAGGAAGAGCTAGAGAAGGGGGAAGTGCTACACACTTTTTTGTTGTTGTTTTTTGTTTTTTTGAGACAGAGTCTCAGTCTATCGCCAGGCTGGAGTGCCGTGGTGCGATCTCGGCTTACTGCAAGCTCCGACACCCTGGTTCAAGCAACTGCCTCAGCCTCCCAAGTAGCTGGGATTACAGGCACACACCCAGATAATTTTTGTATTTTTAGTAGAGATGGTGTTTCACCACGTTGACCTGGCTGGTCTCAAATTCTTGACCTCAGGTGATCCACTTGCCTCAGCCTCTCAAAGTGCTGGCATTACAGGCGTGAGTCACTGCGCCCAGCTGCTACACACTTTTATAAACAACCAGACCTTGTGAGAACTTACTCGTGAGAACGGCAAGGGGGAAATCTGCCCTCATGATCCAATCGCCTCCCATCAGGCCCCTCTTCCAACGTTGAGTATTAAAATTCGATATGAGATTTGGGTGGGGACACAGACCCAAATCATATCAGATACCCAAATGATGATGTCCCCTGCCCATTAAATTTGGCAGCAAATTTGTCACCTTCAACTTCACTGAGAACATTTTCAATAGAGTGCAGGGCAGGAGGCCAGCTAAAGGGAATTGAGGAATGAATGAGAATTGAGGAAAATGAGGTAGGGTGGTCAGAAGTCAAAGAGAATTAAGGTTTGTGTGGGGACATTCTCTGCATTGAGGACAGAATTGCCCATGCAGCCCTGCAGGGCCCAAGGCAATGCCCTAGAGCAGCAGTTCTCAAAGGTCATCAGCAGCCACCACCTGGGATTTACTAGAAAAGCCAATTTTGGGAACCCACCCAAGACCTACTGAATCAGAAACTCCAAGGTGAGGTACTGTGGTCTGTATTTTAACAAGCACTCCAGGTGATTTGGATGCAGGCTAAAGTTTGAGAACTAGGGCCTTAGGACTAGGTTTTTATGGAGCTGAACTATATTATCTGTCTCAGGGAGCAAAATGTGTGTGTTGTTAACATGTTTACTTCAGCTGGGCTTGCTGGAAGCAAAACACCTGATTTGAGTAGGGGGTAAGGACACAGATTTCTGTACAGCAATCAAATGAGAAAAAGGACGGTTGCCTTTCCAGGGCGGGATCCCTGCTGTTTGAGTATGAAATCCACCTGTTTGGGTTTTTCAAGCAGATGAGCAATTCGACATCTTTCCACTCCTCTGAGCAACACAGTGTTAAGTGGATCTCTTGAAGGATGAGCCTGGTGCTTGGCTGGAGCTGTCACAAAGTGGCATTTCTCACAGTATTTGCAGAGGCCCTGGGAAATGTTAACCGGAGACTCAGTTTGCTCTTTGATTTCAGTCTTTATGGGTGAAAACCTTTCTCAAATGCATCTGTCTTTTTGCCACTTTAGAGGCTAGAATAAAATCCAAAAGAGCAAAGTTTGTGAAAGATTTTTTTTATCTTCACAAATCAGAATGGGTTTAAGATGTAGCTCTCTAATGTCACTCTTACTTGCATTCTGATTTGCTTTCTTGAGAGAAAGAGATTGGGATGCTTGGAGTTCCTGCTGGCTGCTGGGATTTGCATGTGATCCCCGACATACAGTATCTGTGACACACGCTGGTATGCGTGTCTGTAGCTGAGGTCCTATTAATAGCTGATACATGAATGTCATTTGTTGGGTGGGCAGATACAGGAAGTGTGGCACCGTGTAAATTCTATGAGGACAGGGCTGGTCGATTCAATGTTTTATCCCCGATACCTAGAATAGCACACAATACACGTGTTGAATGAATGAAAAAAATGATAATTATAATTGAATCCTGGATCACTCAGAAACCTACAGATTCAGGGTCACCAGTCTGAGCATTAATTCTCACCATCTGGGACCCTAAATATAGCATGTGTAGGCAGCACTGGCTGCATAATTTGTTGGGGCCAGTGCAGAATAAAAATGCAGAGCTTCTTGTTCAAAAATTAATAACTGTGAGACAGCATTAGCAGAGTATTCAGCCGAGCACGCGGCTCTTCCGAGTGTGGAGCCCGGTGCTCCTGCACAAGTCACACCCACGAAGCCAGCCCAGCAGGTAAGGAATGGGACAAAATTTTACCGATCCTGGTAATTTTCTGGAAATGGCTTTTTTTCCCAGAAATCCTTGAAATGACCTTTTTATTTTATTTTATTTTAAGATGGAATCTCACTCTGTTGCCCAAGCTGGAGTACAGTGGTGTGAACTCAGCTCACTGCAACCTCTGCCTCCCAGGTAGCTGGGATTATTATTATTATTATTATTATTATTATTGTAGTTTTAGTGGAGACGGGGTTTCACTAAACTCCGTTGGCCAGGCTGGTCTCGAACGCCTGACCTCAGGTGATCCACCCGCCTCGGCCTCCCAAAGTGCTAGGATTACAGGCGTGAGCCACTGTGCCCGGCCATGACCTTTTTATGTAGTTATTTTCTCCTTTTCCATGAAAAACAAGGCAACATTAAAAATGAAGTTTGTCTGTGATAGGATTGGATTATCCCAATTCTCTTCTTCCTCCTTGGAGTGTATCCTCTCTTTGCCATGTTGCTCTACAATGCCTCCTGCTGGAGAGATTGGAGTCTGTTTCCCCACTTCCTCATGTCGGGCTGGATCGTGAAGCTTGCTTTGGCCAATGGAATGTCAGTGGGCATGATCGGAGGCTGTAAATGTGCCCATGTGGTTTGACTTTGCTTCTCAGGCTCTGTCCTTTACCATGAGAACTGTCCCCGGTAGCTGTTGGCTCAAGCAAATGACAGAAATGTGGGGTAGACTTGATCCCAATCAGCTGCCCTAGCTCACCTGCAGACCTACATAGAAGGATGAAAAAGAAATGTTTTTGGTAAGCCAACAAGGTCTTGGAGTCTTTTGTTACACAGCATTTACATAACAGAAACCTAAGAAGGTATCCTTCAGGAGGATCCTAGTAAATGAATATCAACTGTGTTTTTTTTTAAATTTTGAGGATGCTGAAAAAGAAAAAGAGAGACTAGAAAAAGAATCAAAATTAATGCTGAATATTGGTATACAATCCTGCTCAAAAGATGGTTTAACATGATGCTCAAATCAAGTCAATAAATCCTAAACAAACTCAGTGCTAAGCACTTTGCAAGCTTTAATTCAAGTAATCCTCCCAGTAACACTATGAGTGAGGTTGCTAATATCATTGTCATTTTCAGTTGTGGGAGCAAAACATCAGAGAGATGTAAGTAACTCAGCTAAGGCCACACCGCTTGGAAGTAGTGAAGCCAGGATCCTAACTCAGGTGGGATGGATCCAGAGCTGCACACTTAATCACCACGCCTTGCTACATTGACATCTAAAAAACAAGGGCCGGTGGCTCATGCCTGTAATCCCAGCACTTTGGGAGGCCAAGATAGGTAGATCACTTGAGGCCAGGAGTTTGAGACCAGCCTGGGCAACGTGGTGAAACCCCATCTCTACAAAAAATACAAAAATTAGCCAGGCCTTGTGGCTTGCACCTGCAGTCCCAGCTACTTGGGATGCTGAGGCTGGAGAATCACTTGAGCCCAGGAAGTAGAGGTTGCAGTGAGCCGAGATCACACCGCTGCACTCCAGCCTGAGCAGGAGTGAGACCCTGTCTCAAAAATAAAAAGTAAAGGAAGGTCCTGGGGAAATTCAAGGTACTTTTATCTGTGTCCTGAACTTGACTTGACTTCAGACCGCTCCTCCTTCTGCCTCCTCCTTGAAGATCAACTCAAATACCTGTTTCTTTGCTCTTGCCTTCACCCACACCTTGAGTTTGATGCCCAAGTAGATGATGCTCCCAACTCCCAGCAGCCCAAACTCCACTCTCCTTACCTAGCATGATGTGTCTGAGGAAACTGGGCCAATAATCCACTTGATTGCATAGCCCAGGGCTCTTTCTCGCAGGATGTAGCTACCATTCCCAACCATAGAACTGGGCCCACAAGAAGACCTTGAGATACAAAAGCCTTCAAGGTATGTGGGAAGGGTTTGCAAAAGGAGAATCAGGTTTATGGCTAAATGTCAGTAAGAACGCATGCCCCTGCCTTTCTACACTTCTCTGAATGCCCCTCAGCCAGGCTTCTTGGTGACTGTGTGGTGCCTGAGGCCATTCTTACAGCATGAATATATTAAAGCATGGTATAATCCAGACATTTGTCATTCTCCCTCCAGGTCATTACATATGAGTAGGTCTCTTTGACAATGCTCTAATATGCCCTCAAGGAGGCTTCATTTATTTAGGGCTGCATACAGATTTTGAAGAGAATGTATTTAAGACAAGTAGAAAAAGAATCTTTCATCCTTATTACAGATTATGTAAACTCCTAGCCAGATTCTAATTTCCTTGCTGATTCCAAACTTGCCAAGAGAGCTTTTTTTGGACATCATTAAATAGATCTTATTCTAGTTGTCTTTGTTTGTTTTTTAGAGATTGCAAGTACTCCATAGGTTTCCTTAAAGAAGCAGCAGGAGGAAGAGGCCTCATTTTTAGGAAAGCTTGCCTTATGCTCGGGCAAAGGTGGACACATCAGCTGCTGGTGCATGGGCCGGCAGCGGAGAGGAACGATATTCACCAGAATTAACAGCTGGTCCAGAAAGGGTTCTGAACAATCAGGGAGAGGCCCTGTTCCTGACCCATCTGCCAAGCAGATGGGCTGTGATCAGACTGGCTCATCAGAAGGGGAGCATCTCTTTCCCAAGAATCCCAGTCCAAGTTCCAAGCCTGCGCTGGGAGCCACCGTTGTTGGGTTGAACTGATCCAGAACATACGGTCTGAGAGTAGAAAGGGAAGCTTCCCTGCAGTAGGCAGAATAATGTCCCCAAACCCACCCCAAAGAGGCCTATATGCGAATCCCCAGAATCTGTGAATATGTTACATAGTAAAGGGGAATGGGAATTAAGGTTGCCAATCCGTCGACTGTAACATAGGGAGATTACTCTAGGTTTTCCAGGTAGGTGCAATGTAATCCCAAGAATCTTTAAGAGAAGAAGAAGGAAGTGGACGAGGAACCACCAAAGAGAAGGCAGCATAAGAGGGATCTGGCCTGGCGTTGCTGGCTTGAGGCTGGAGGAAGGGACTACCAGCCAAGGAAAAAAAGCTGAAAAACGCAATGAGACAGATTCTCCCTAGGGCCTCCGGAAAGAACACAGCCCGGTTAACACTTTGATTTTAGCCCAGAGAGATCTATTTTGGACTTCTGATCTCCAGAATTATAAGATAATAAATTTGTGTTGTTTTAAGCCACTAAGTTTATCGTCATTTGTTGTGGCAACAATATAAAATAAATACATTCCCCAACGGGAAATTAGGGTGCTCTTACCAAAATGAGAAGGAAGATGCTGGGCAGGCCAACAAAAAGATCAGAACAGATGTGTACTGCAGATGAGATCATGGGAGCGCTTGTTCTATAGCTCCCTGGATGGATATTTCCCAGGGGAGAGAGAATATACTTTCAAAGTATCAATAGTGGTATGGACCTGTTCCACAAAGCAAAAGCTAAGCTCATAGCACCTGTCAGCAAGCCCAGAAGACCTGGAGTTAGGAGTGTGGCTTCTGAAGGCACTCCACAGAGACTGGAAACCTGGTTCCCTCATGCACCAGCTGCGTAACTCTGGGCAAGTTACTTAGACTGTCTATGCTTCAGTAAAATGAAGATGATAAATATCTGATAGGATTTTTCATGGGGATCAATGACAATTATACACATAAGGAATTAATAAAAAAAAATCTGTGGATGCAAAGCCCACGGATATGGAGGATCAACTATTAAAAAAAAGAATTAAGAATCACTTCTGGCATATGGTTAAGGCTCAATAAATGTTAATGGCTGCTAATATGACTCATACTATAACCTAGCTCTGGAGTCAGACTACCTGGGTTCAAAGCCCAGCTCTGCCACTTAGAACTTCTATGCTTGGGCGAGTTACTTAGCATCTGTGAGCCCCAGGTTTTTTCATGTGTAAAATGGGGATATTAAAGTACTTACCTCATAGAGTTGTGATGAGAATGAATACATTAATTTATGTAAAGTACTAGAACAACGCCTGATATACATGATACTTGTTATCTAGCGTCATCATCGTTAGTACTAGTATGAGGTCACCATCACTTTGGAGGACTAATAACTAAAGCACCACCACCGTGATGATGCAATGGCATCTTATGTGATCGTGAAAACCTTTTAAGTTGGGAAGAACCATGGTTCCCAAACTGTAGGGACCTCTGGGAGCAACCTTATCTATCTTCCTATCAGAAACTCAAACCATGGAAGCACCCTGGTGAGATGGCTATATAATATATGAAAAGAAAAGAAAGTGGAAAAATTTGTCAGCAGAAACACACTGTAAGACTCTTGAAAGGGATGTAGAGAGAACCCACTTACGCCTCCTATTTCTCTGCTCTGCAATTCTACAGGGTTGCATTTGCCTGATGCTTTTGATTTGGTGTTTTTACACTATGTGAGAACATTAGGTTAAGGAAGCTTGCCATTTCCCTTTTCAGAGCAGTCCTTTCAACAATACCAAGAATTCGCACTTTGGTAGATAATGACAAGAAATACGACAGCCCTTTAGTAAACAAGCAAATCAGCTAATGGCAAAGGCTGATTTAATCAAAACATTCTGGTTCTCCCTCATCTGAACCCACACAAGGAATGAACCAATCCAATTGGAAAAAAATATTTGTTTTATCTTTGCCACATTTATTTACTCTTAAGGACTGTTTAACTTGATGGGGCAGAGAAGTTGGAAAGAACAAAAATACTCAAGGCAGTGAACAGCCTCCCAGGTCTCTGGCAGCAGGCAGGAATGCCAGTGGCCTGGAGGTATTTCCACAGGGGCCTGTTTGTGAGCAGTTTCTGAAGTTCTTTGCCCTCATCTTGAGGGGTGGAGAAATGACCTGCTTATGTGGCAGGTTTGCAGGGCAGGGGGTGCAGAATAAGAACTAGAGAAAACAAGTCAGAAATGTAACCCCTGCTCTGTAAATGATTCCAAAATATGAAATACTTATTCCAAAAACTTTACTGAGCATTCTATATGTGCAAGACACTGAGACAGGTGTTACAAGAAGGTAAAGATAAAGTAGACATAGATTTGAGCTCAAGAATTTCTTTGTCAAATAGGGCATGAGAAAGACACACAGATACCTATGGGATGTAGAAAGCTCCAGGTATGTTTTATTTTATTTATTTATTTATTTATTTATTTATTTATTGAGACAGAGTCTTCCTTCATTGCCCAGGCTGGGGTACAGTGGTGTGATCTTGGCTCACTGCAACCTCCAGCTCCTGGGTTCAACTGATTCTCCTGTCTCAGCCTCCTGAGTAGCTGGGAGTACAGGCGTGTGCCACCATGCCCAGCTAATTTTTGCATTTTCAGTAGAGATGGGTTTTTGCCATGTTGGCCAGGCTGGTCTCAAACTCCTGACCTCAAGTGATCCACTCACCTCAGCCTCCCAAAGTGTTGGGATTATAGGCGTGAGCCACTATGCCCAGCCTCTAGGTGTGTTAAATTGGAAGCCCTAGAAACAGGGCTGGAGATGGGGTTTGTGTACAGGTGCTTACTGTTGTAAATTGTTTTTATTTTTTTTAGAGACAGGGTCTCCCTTTGTTGCCCAAGATGGGTGCAGTGGCATGATCTTAGCTCACTGCAGCCTCGACCTCCTGGGCTCAAGCCATCTTCCTGCCACAGCCTCCTGAATAGCTGAGACTAGAGGCATGCAGCACCACACCTGGGTAATTTATTATTTTTTTTGTAGAGATGGAGCCTCACTATGTTGTCCAGGCTGGTCTTGAACTCCTGGGCTCGAACCATCCTCCTACCTTGGCCTCCCAAAGTGCTAGGATTATAGGCATATGCCAGGGTGTCTGGCTTTATAGGTGCTATCTTGAAGAAGAGCTCTTGGGTGAAACCTTTAAGGATGCAAGTGAAGCAGAATAGGGCAGGGGAGAAGCTGGGTAAAGAGGTGACCATAGCCCCAGCCTGAAGCCATTCTTAGATCTGGAGGGTGATTGGTACCTGTGGTATAATACAAAATATATATTAATCTTGGTCTGTGGTTCCCAGCATAGAGCTCCTAACCCCCTTGGAAATTACTCTTTTGCAAATGAGATGATTTTTGCTGGGGAGAGGGGGCCTAGGTAGCTTTAGGATGGGGCCTGGACACAGGAAAAACCAACCATGTACTGAGAAGGTTAGAACTTCCAGCCTTGCTCTCCCACCTCTGAGAGCTGGAGAGAGGCTAGAGATGGAGTTCAATCACCAATGGCCAATGATTTAATCAATCATGTGTACTTACTGAAACTGCCATAAAAAAATTCCTACACAATGGGGCTTGGAGAGCTTCTGAGTTGGTGAACATATCCAGGAGAGTGGCTCATCCCACCTCCCCAGGGACAGAGGCTCCTGCATTCAGACCCTTCCTCAATACCCCTCCATCTGGCTGCTCGTGTGTGTCCATCATAATAAAGTGTAATAGTAGGTATGGCATTTTCCTGAGTTCTGTGAGGATTCTAGTGAATTATCAAAGCTGGGTGGGGAAAGTCACAGAACCCCTGAATTCATAGTCCCACTGGGCAGAAGTGTGGGTCACCTGGGGACCCCATTTGTGGCTTGTGTCTGAAGTCTTGTGGAGCTGAGCCCTTTAACCTGTGGGAGCTGGGTTTCATAAAGGGAATCTGGGCACAACACAACAGCATTTACTAAAAGGTAATGCTACTGAAACACCAGAGATCCAGTCTAGGTCCTGCTGCTTGTTACACAGAATGCCAATCACTGAGACAATAAGTATTGCCGGGGAAGAAAGCTTTAATGGGGTGTTGCAGCCAAGGAGAATAGGAGATAAATCTCAAGTGTGTTTGACAGACTAAAATTGAGGGTTTTATATAGCAGGAAAGGTGGGAAAACAGGAATTAAGGAGGAGTATGGAAGTAATCATGATGGATGAGGGGTCTGGCGTCTCCGTCTGGATACAGTGATCTGATGAGTTTTAGGTTTTTGTTTTTGCCTGAGTGTCTGTTTTTTGAGGAAGGAATTCAGATGAGATAAATGTAAGTTTTAAATTTTAAAAACAGGAAGGGTTTTTATGTTTCTTTTAAAAACTGTAATAACATTTCTATGGGACAATTGGGCTGGTTTTAATCCCCTTTTTCTATTCATTAATTTTTCAATCATGGGGAATATGGTTGTCTACCTTTTTGGCTACTTAATGCTAAGGGGTGCATTGTGGGATAATGATGGGAAATGAAAACATCACCCCTGAATCTGAAGGGCTCAGGAGCACCTGATTGGCATCCTGCTTGTTGGAGCACCATGATTTAAAAAAAAAAAAAAATGCCCAAGTATTAAAGTGAATCCCTTAACGAATCCAAGAGAACAATCCTAAGCCTATTAAAAAGTATTTCTGATTCATAGCTGGGTGCAGTGGCTCACGCCTGTAATCCTAGCACTCTGGGAGGCCGAGGCAGATGTGGCTCACTTGAGGTCAGGAGTTCAAGACCAGCCTGAGCAAAGTGATGAAACCCTGTCTCTACTAAAAATACAAAAATTAGCTGGGCGTGATGGTGCACGCCTGTAGTCCTAGCCACTTGGGAGGCTGAAGAATGAGAATTGCTTGAACTTGAGAAGTGAAGGTTGCAGTGAGCTGAGATTGCGCCACTGTACTCCAGCCTGGGTGACAGAGTGAGACTCTGTCTCAAAAAAAAATTACTAAAAATTGTTTTTGGTTCATTATATCCTGCATGCAAGAAGGGTTTTGGGGAGAATAATGCCAACCTGAAAAGCACATGTTCCATTTATGATTTCTGATTTAGGGTCTTTGGCTGGGCATTGAATATTAACTTAAGGCCATCTTAGGGTTCACAAGAGCATGCCTGTTTTTTTCTGGAGGGATGCCAGAGGGACAGGTTTTATCTGAGTGTGGTGAATCCATGGCTTAACACTGGCTAACTTGGCGGATGAGTGGGTAATCAGCAGCATCTCAAAAGGACTGACCCATGGTGGTTGCAGCTGGTTTGCAGCCTGCTGGGATTTCCAGGTCTTCAGCATGACTTGGTTTCTCAGCTTCAAAGAGAAAAGAGGCACATCTGTAGGACACTGAAGCCTATTGGAAGCAAGCTCAGAAAGACTAGTTAATATATTTTTAAAACACCAGGTTAATATTCCCGTCATTATAAAGCCAGTTCCCAATGGCTTGCATATGAAGCATATTATTGGTTGCTTCCTCTGGGATGTTCCACCTGGCATTGATAAGTGGAGTTGGGCAGCCCGCTTCTCAGGGTAAATAGATCTTACAGTGGCTTTTATCCAGTTTACCAGGCTGGTCATTCTCTCAGGAATAGCTTCCAGTGTGTCTGAATTGTATATACCCATCTATGATTGTTCAACAGTGAGCTGTGGGTCTTGCTTATGGTCACTCAGCAAACACTAGGATTTCAGTCGTGGTTTGTCGGACCCCCAAGCTGCCGCTCTCCATGGCCACACGGTCTGGCCACCTTCAGGTTTTCTCCCTAGCTTCCCTGTCACTCAGTGGTTCTCAAACTCTAGTATGCAGCAGAATCACTGGAGTGCTTCTTCAAGTAGATTTCTGGGCCCCACCATGACAGCTTTGATTCAGTTTGTCTGTGCCAGCCAGAGCTATGGCCGGCTACATTATTTGCAAAGCCTCGTGCAAAAGGAAAATGCAGGCCGGGCGGGATGGCTCATGCCTGTAAACCCAGCACTTTGGGAGGCCAAGGCAGGTGGATCACCTGAGATGAAGAGTTCGAGACCAGCCTGGCCAACCTGGTGAAACTCCATCTCTACTAAAAATACAAAAATTAGCTGAGTGTGGTGGTGCACACTTGTAATCCTAGCTACTCGGGAGGCTAGGGCAGGAGAATCACTTTAGCCCAAGGGGTGGAGGTTGCAGTGAGCTGAGATCATGCCACTGCACTCCAGCCTGGGCAACAGAGCAAGGCTTCATCTCAGGAAAAAAGAAAAAGAATATGTAGAGGTCTCATCCTAGGGTGGGGAAGTCAATTTCCCCTTCCCACTGGCTCAGTGCCCTAGTCCATAGCAGACAGGCCACCATGCCCACCAATGCTAATTGCAGCCTCACACCAGGACACGCTTAGTACCTGGATCAGGGATGGGAAGAAGCCCCTGATAAGTAGCCCACGGATTGAACTGGTGCTGCCACCCTAGAGTGGGGACAGCTGCTGCCTGGCCCTGGCCTGAGCACCACGCAGTGTGCATGCAACCCCGATCCTCTCCGTGTTTGTGCCCAGGCCCCCTCCAGGGACAGAGGGCAATGGCAAACACAAGCCTCCTCTCATCAACACAAGCCAGCTGCCACCTCGAGTGGAGGGTAGCAGTGGTCATTGGGCAGGGTGGGAAGACTAAGTGGGGTGTGGAGGATGGGGTGCAGGTGCTGAGAACCCAGGGTGGAAAGGGGAGGCAAGCTGTGAGCCAAGTCTCCAAACCCCCATGCTTGCTCCATTGTCCAATTGGACTTAGTAAACACAAATTCGAAGGTAAAATCAAACTTCAGCTTTGACGTTCTGTGTGGCGACACTAGTTGCACACCCATGAATTCAACTCTGGTCAGAGAATATTTACATTTCTAGCAAGTTCCCAGGTGACCCTGAGAAGCAGTTGATCTTTCCTTTCTTTCTTCTTTCTTTCTTTTCTTTTTTTTTCTTTTTTCTTTTCTTTTTTTTTTTGCTTTGAGACGGAGTTTTGCTCTTGTTGCCCAGGCTGGAGTGCAATGGCGCAATCTCAGCTCACCGCAACCTCCGCCTCCTGGGTTCAAGCGATTCTCCTGCCTTAGCCTCCTGAGTAGCTGGGATTACAGGCGCCCGCCACCACACCCGGCTAATTTTTGTATTTTTAGTAGAGACGGGGTTTCACTATGTTGACCAGGCTGGTCTTGAACTCCTGACCTCAGGTGATCCACCCACTTTGGCCTTCCAAAGTGCTGGGATTACAGGCATGAGTCATAGCGCCCAGCCAGTCCTTTCTTTTAAAAAGGCGCAAAGCATTGCTCCACAGTGTGACTTTCCTCTTTTCCTCGGTAAAATGGTGATGCTATTTCCTGCATTTCCTGCCTCATACGCTTTGGTGAGAGGACAAAGAGAAGGATGCCTGAAAGTGCCCGGCACAGTGGTTGGAACAAAGCACATACTCGGGAAATGTTAGCAGCGACACTAATAGTAATAGTCATAATTATTATTGTTGCCACCACCTTCACTTTTGTTCAGGCTGTTGTGTCTGATGCCTTTTTCTAGTGCCCCCTATTTCCCCTCTGCTGTCTTCAGAAAAGAAACTAGAGAAGTACAGGGGCAGGGCAGGGCTAGGGGAAGACACCTCAGGTCAGAGCCAGTTATTGCCAAAAGCCAAATCATGAGGAGATATGTAAAGATGCTGAGGTTTGCCAGAACAAACTAAAAACTCAGATCCTCTGAAATTGGCCCTGGAGGGAGAAATCTGAATGTGAGGAGAATGTAGGCAAACCATTTCACCCCACTGTTCCCTGGAGATTGTGTGTCCAGTCTGTAAAAGACACATAAATATCTCTAAGGGGTAGAAAGCTCCAGATGTTCTTCAGAGGAGGACAGAGCAAGTCCTGGAGATAAAGATCCAACTCCCACAGCCACCCCCTCCTGCCCCTTCAGGAGTGAGTGGGGAGGTATCACTTTCCTTTCAACATTTAGACCAGGTTATGACGTTCAGAGCACAAGAACCCTGCACAGAGGCTGGCTTCTCCCCGCGGGGCTTCACCACATTCGAGATTACGTGGTCTCGCTTGCTCTCCAGGGTTCACCCATCCCATCTCACACGGCAGACATCCACTGTTCTCAAACTCTGGGCCAGGGGACCAAGGCCAGAGAGAGAGAACAAGCCTGAGTGCCTCTGCAGTGGGTCTGGACTGTGGAATGTTCCAGGATGCTTAAAAAATACTGATGCCTGGGTCCCACCCCCAGGAATTCTGATTTAATTAATTTAGGGTGCATTCTATGTATCAGTGTTTTGAAAGCTCAGCAGGGGTTACTACTGTGCACTTGAGGCTGGGAGCCACTGCTGTCCCGCCCCCTCTGTTCTGGGATATTCTCTGAGGATCCTTCTCTGAATGGCTGACAGGCAGGGTGAACAACCGCCTCAGAGGCACCTCCATTAATCAGATGCATGAACTTGCCTTAGTAGCTATCCAGGAAGGTCTTCAGGAACCCCACTGCATGACTGCAAGAGAGAACCAGCCACTGCAGGCGAGGGGAGGACGGCCTGCACACGTGGAATCATTTTGGGAAGAAGTGGGAGGATCACCAGGTCAGCACAGGGTTGATTGTAGGCCTGTGTCTAGGGCATGTTCCCTGGAAATAAGAAAGCTTCTTGGAGCTGTACTGAGAGCAGCTTTCGACCATGCTAAATTCCTATTAGCATTTTTTAAATGAACTAATTTGCTATTAATGTGTATTCTTTGGTGAAACTGTTCAAATATTTTGACCATCTTTTAGTTTAATTTTTTGTTTTTTGAGACGGAGTCTCGCTCTGTCACCCAGGTTGTAGTGCAGTGGCACAATCTTGGCTCACTGCAACCTCCATCTCCCAGGTTCAAGTGATTCTCCTGCCTCAGCCTCCCAAGTAGCTGGGATTACAGCGCCGCCCCAGCCTGGGCTAGACTTTTGCATTTTTAGTAGAGGACAGACGGGGTTTCACCATGTTAGCCAGGCTGGTCTCGAACTCCTGACTCAGGTGATCTGTCCCTCCTCCTCAGCTTCCCAGAGTGCTGGGATTACAGGTGTGAGCCACTGTGCCCAACTAGTTCAATTTTTGGAAAATATTTTTTATTGGCTGGGCGGGTGGTGGTCACACCTGTAATCCCAGTACTTTGAGAGGGCTAAGGTGGGTGGATCTGAGGTCAGGAGTTTGAGACTAGCCTGGCCAACATGGTGAAACCCCATCTCTACTAAAAATGCCAAAATTAGCCGGGCATGGTGGCGGGCGCCTGTAATCCCAGCTACTTGGAGACTGAGGCAGGGAGATCACTTGAACCTGGGAAGGTGGAGGTTGCAGTTAGCCAAGATTTGCACCACTGCACTCCAGCCTGCATGACAAAGTGAGATCCCGTCTCAAAAAAAAAAAAAAATATTATATTATATATATAAAATGAATAAAATGAATGCTGTAAAGTTTTTAATTTAAAAAACTTTTTTTTTTTTTGTAGAGTTGGAGTCTCACCATATTGACCAGGCTGTCCTCAAACTCCTGGGTTCAAGCAATTCTCCCACCTCGACCTCCCAAAGTGCTAGGATTGCAGGTGTGAGCCACCATGTCCAGACCAAAAGTTCTTTATATGTTCTGGATACAAACTGTCAGATATAGAAGCCTTTTTTTCTTCTGGCTCCAAGCAGCGGTGCTAGAGAGTGTTCATCAAAGCCTGGTATAGGTGCCCTGTGTTTATGAGCATTTGGCCCGGTCTGCCCTCTCTTCTGTGCCAGGCAGCACTGCCAGCTCAGGTACAACCTGCTCACGTCAGATCAAGTCCACAAACATTTACTGAACATCTATTCCCTGACAGGATCATGCTAGGAACCAGGGAGAATGAAATAAATAGCTGTTGTTTATTAATATTCTTTGTAGAATGTTGACCTCGAGCAAGTTACTTGCTTCTCGATATTTCAGTTTCCTGATCTGTAAAATGTGACTGTGAAAGGACCCACCCTGAAGGGTTGTAGTAAAGTCAAAGTGAGTTAATACATCAAAATACTCAGTAGGATGTCTGACATATATTACGTACCTAATAAATATTAGCCAATATTGTCATTATTTTAAAAATTCTTATTATTTGTTATAGCCTGAATGTTTGTGTCCCCACCAAATTTGTGTGTGTGTGTGTGTGTGTGTGTGTATATATATACACACACATTTTGAGACACAGTTTCACTCTGTTCCCCAGTCTGGAGTTCAGTGGCACAATCTCAGCCCACTCCAACTTCTGCCTCCTGGGTTCAGGCGATTCTCATGCCTCAGCCTCCTGAGTAGCTGGGATTACAGGCGAGTGCCACCACGCCTGGCTAATTTTTTGTGTGTTATTAGTAAAGATGGAGTTTCAATATGTTGGCCAGGCTGGTCTCGAACTCCCGACCTCAATTGATCTGCCCGTCTCTGCCTCCCGAAGTGCTGGGATTACAGGTGTGAGCCACTGCACCCGGCCTCCAGTGCACTATGATTAAGAGGTGGAACCTTTTGGAGCTTATTAGGTCATGAGGCAGAGCCCTCATCTGTGGGATTAGTGCTCTTAGGAAAGAGGCCTGAGGGAGCTTGTTCATCCCCACTGTCGTATGAGTAGGCAGCCAGAAGACACTATCTTTGAAGCGGAGTGCAGCCCTTACCAGCCAATGACTCTGCTGGCACTTTGATCTTGGACTTCCCAGCCTCCAGAACTATGAGGAATACATTTCTGTTGTTTATAAATTGCCCAGTCTAAGGTATTTTGTTATAGCAGCCTGAATGGACTAAGACATTATGACAACTGCTACCACAGTGAGATGGAACTTAGAGGGTAATGGGGAAAACAAGCAATTATAATAGAGTGGTAGGTACTAATACACCTGGAAGCAGAGGTGCCATGGGAATATTCTGGAAGGGCCCCTATACAGGATTGGGGGTTATTGAAGGTTTCCTAAAGAAAACAGTGGCTTAGCTGAGAACAAGAAGTGATCAAGACATTTCCAGGTATGGGAGGGACTGTGTATTAGTCCATTTTCATGCTGCTGTTAAAGACATACCCGAGACTGAGTAAATTACAAAGTAAAAGAGGCTTAATGGACTCACATCTCCATGTGCCTGGGGAGGCCTCACAATCATGGCAGAAGGCAAAAGTCATGTCTTATATGACAGCAGGCAAGAGAGAGAATGACAGTCAAGCAAAAGGGTTTCCCCTCATAAAACCATCATATCTCATGAGACTTACTACCATGAGAACAGTATGGGGGAAACAGCCCCCATGATTCAATTATCTCCCACCGGGTCCCTCCCACAACACATGGAAATTATGGGAGCTACAATTCAAGATGAGATTTTGTTGAGGACACAGTCAAACCATATCAGACTGTGAGGAGGAAGAACATTCCAAGCAGAAGGACTAGCAATGTATAGTCTGCAGGTGAGAGAGGAATGGCTTGGTGAAGAAGTTGTGGGGTGCTGAGAGGAAAGAAGGGACACAGCAGTGAGGTCACTCAGGCCTGTTAAGCCATGATAAGGAGTTTGGACTTGATCTAAAGATAGAGAAGTCACAGATCCTGCCCTTGAGTAGCTTCAAGTTAAACAGGAGAGGTGGACATAAAACAGATCATTTATTAATTATGTCATAGTTTAATATAATGTGAGAAGACAGAGGAGAGACCCCAAACCCTGACTATGGCAGAGAAGGGGTTCTAGAAAAAGCCAAGATGAAATGCCCAGATCAACATGGATAGGTGTCACAAGGGAACACTTCCTCTTCCCAAGCATGCTATCTTGACCCTCTTCCCAGAGTCTTGGTGTAACATCATCCTCCACCAAGTCAGAAACCTTAATGTGATCCCCCATGCTACTTTCTCCCTCATCCCTCCCTCACATTCGACCAATGGCTGAGTCCCACTGAGTTGTTGCTTCTAACTCTGTCACTCCCAATTTCCCTAGGCAAGGGCTTCAGCATCTGTTCAAGGGATACTTTCAGCAACCGGGTCTATCTATCTGGATTTGCCCTGATCAAATTCCCTTTCCACACTGTGACTGCCAGAGTGTCTTCCAGCACTTCCAACATGTCAATTCAGTCATGTTTCTCTCTTGGGCAAAACTATTTAGTTCCACAACATCTTGCTGGGTCTGAATTTCTATGCATCCATAGATCTATCAAGAGCTAAGAATGAATGTGTGTAAAATATCTTTACCTCCTCTGGGGAACTGTAAAAGACCCTTTTTAATTCTATTTTTAGTATTAAAGATATGTCAATATCTTTTCCTATGTGTAATTTCACTAAACTTGAACTGTTCTTTCTTGAACAACCTGAATTAAGGTTGGAAGGTGTGTCTAGACCTTCCAGTGGTAGGGATTAAAAAATATAAATATATAAATATAAATTCTTAACTTCCTTATTTGTTTTCCCAGGGTGAGCACCATATAAATGCTAAATTATTGGTTAGTGGGAAGAAAGGTTATTCCGTCATGGAGTCCTCCATACACACTGACCTCTTAGCCTGAATAATGTAAGATTTCAGCATTTTCCCCCTTCTTTGTTCTTCTCTAAGGTGGTTCTTTTCTACTTTTGCTTTTGCTTTTAAGAGTCAGGTTTATTAGGGACTAATTTTAACAAAATTTACCCCTGTACTGTACATAATTCAGTAAGTATTGTTGATTTCCTGCAGTCATGTAACTGCCTTGTCAAGATACAGAATACGTCCATCAACTTCAGAAATCCTCTCATGCATCTTTGCAGTTGATCTCCTCACCCACCCCCACTTCCTGGCAATAGCTGATCTGTTTTCCAGAATGTAATATTAATGTAATCAAATAAAACATAGCCTTTTGTTTCTGGTTGCTAATAGTATATCAGTTTTGAGAATAATTCATATTGTTGCATGAATCAGTAGTTTGCTTTTTTTCATTGCTGACTATTATTCCATGGTCTGAATGTAGTGGAATTTGTTTATGCATTTCTCTGTCAATGGACATTTGGGTTGTTTCCAGTCTTCAGCTATTATGAATAAAGTTGTAATTGTAACGTGAATACAGGTCTCTATATAGACATATGAATTCATTTCTCTTGCATAAATCCCTGAGAGTGGTATTGCTGGATCGTACAGTAAATGTGTATTTAATTTTATAAAAACTGCCAAACTGTTTTAAAGTGGTTTTGTTATTTTTCATTCCCACCATCGATGTAAGAGAGTTTCAGTTGCTCCATACACTTGTCAAATGTTTGATAATGTCCCTCCTTGTAATTTTAGACATTCTAGTGGGTATGCAATGGTACTTTGTCATATCTTAATTTACCTTGCCTAAAATTCAAATTAGCATCTTTTAATGAACAAATTTTCCATTAATATGTATATTTGTTGGTGAAAGTGTCTGTTCAAATATTTTGATCATTTTTTAGTTCGATTCAAAAAATATTTTTATGTTTGAGCTGTCAAAGTTCTTTATATATTCTGGATACAAGTTATAGACATAAAATTTTATAAAATTTTTCTGTCTGTGGCTTTAAATTTTTTTCTCAATATTATCTTTTTGCCCAGGCATGGTAATCCCAGCACTTTGGGAGGTTGAGGTGGGTGGATCACTTGAAGTCAGGAGTTTGAGACCAGCCTGGCCAACTTGGCGAAACCCCTTCTCTACTAAAAATAAAAAATTAGCTGGGTATGGTGGCACATGCCTGTAATCTCAGCTACTCTGGAGGCTGAGGCAGGAGAATCGCTT